TCACATTTCACCTTCTCACACCATCACTACCCGCTCCAAGACTGCTCCCCACCCACAAATCCTGTCCACCTCTCTTGAACCTATCAACATCAAACAAGCCTTGGCCAATCCCAACTGGTCTGCTGCTATGCAATCTGAAATGTGTGCACTTCATGCTAACTCAACTTGGTCTTTGGTTTCTCTTCCTCCCAACAGAACTGCAATTGGTTGCAAGTGGGTTTTTCGTGTTAAAGAAAATCCTGATGGCACTCTCAACAGGTATAAAGCTAGATTGGTGGCCAAAGGTTTTCATCAGCAAGCTGGGTTTGATTACACAGAAACTTTTTCCCCAGTAGTTAAGCCTATTACCATCTGCACCATTCTTACTGTTGCTATCTCCTTTGGCTGGACATTAAGACAACTGGATGTCAATAATGCCTTTTTTAATGGCACTCTTGATGAAGAGGTGTACATGCAACAACCTTCTGGCTCTGAGTCCCCAAATAAATCACTGGTCTGTCAGTTACATAAAGCCCTTTATGGCTTGAAACAGGCCCCCAGAGCTTGGTTTGATAAGCTCAAAGCATCTCTACTGCATCTTGGATTCGTTGCTAGTAAATGTGATCCTTCACTATTTATCTACAGGAAGTCTGCACAATGTGTCTTTCTCTTGGTTTATGTTGATGATATAATCATCACTGGAAATGACTCCAGCTTTATTCAGACTCTTATTCAGAAACTTGATTCTGATTTTGCTCTCAAGGATCTTGGGAATCTTGATTTCTTTCTTGGTGTTGAGGTTCAGCGAACATCTTCTGGAGCACTGCTTCTTACTCAGTCAAAATACATTCGCAGCCTTCTTAGTAGAGCTCATATGGCAGAAGCCAAAGGTATTTCTACCCCACTTCAATCTGGCTGCAAACTCTCCAAATATGGGTCCAATTACTACTCAGATCCATCCTTCTATCGTTCCATTGTTGGGGCTCTCCAATATGCTACACTTACTAGACCTGATATCAGCTACTTGGTTAACAAAGCTTGTCAATTTATGGCTCAACCTCTTGAAGAGCATTGGGCTGCAGTCAAGCGGATTTTACGTTACTTGAATGGCACCCTCCATCATGGTATGTTGCTGCAGCCATGTCATCCAAGTCACTTGTTCTCTATCACTGCATTTTGTGATGCAGATTGGGCTAGTGACCCAGATGATAGATGGTCTACTTCAGGAGCATGTATCTTTTTTGGCTCCAACTTGGTGTCATGGTGGTCCAAGAAGCAGAATCTGGTTGCACGGTCCAGCACTGAGGCTGAGTATCGCAGCCTTGCTCTAGCTACAGCAGGTTCTCTGGCTCAAATCTCTCCTTCATGAGCTCCAAATTCAGTTTGGCACTCCTCTCATTCTGTGTGACAATCTGAGTACTGTTTCCCTATCTCATAATCCAGTCCTTCATGCTAGGACTAAGCATATGGAATTGGATATATTCTTTGTAAGAGAGCGTGTTATTGCTAAAGAAATCAGCGTCTGCCACATTCCTTCCTTGGATCAAGTTGCTGACACTCTTACAAAAAGCTTATCTGCCTCCAGGTTTGCTGTTTTGAGGGACAAACTCAAGGTGGTTGACTCTCTCCGTTACCTTCATCCACCCTGAGTAGAGGGGGCATATTAGAGTAGATGAGGTGTACAACTTATACAGCTGTACACAGGGTCAATCTTATAATTAGCCATAGGGTTATTTCTGTAATTAGCAAACTCATTCTGTTCAGTTAACTAATTCTGGTTACAACTAAACCAGATGACGTGGCATATTTGTAAGGTCTATATTAGACCATTGTGTAACACATGTACGATCAATGAATCACTTTATTCTCTTTCTCTATTCACTTTCGCTCTCTTCTCTCTCTCTATGACTTCTTTGATATGTTTGCTTTGATATATAATCAACGATAATTGTTCATTTGAATTTTTAATATTATGTGACATTATTTAGTACATAATTTAGATAATTATGTTAGAATTCATAGTAAATTTTTTTCCTGATAAATTTGTGTAATTATCATAAATACTTTGATAATTTAATATGTCAAATTTTTTGGCACCGTCTAAATTTTTAAGCAAGTGAGAACGACGAAGAAAGTAAAATTCATATTAATTTAGGCAGGGTAATCTGATACTGGGTGGATACATTGGCAGATTTGAAGAATTCTCTCATTTTTTTTATTTTTTTTTGTACATGCAATAATAATGACGAAGGGGACGAACTCATACTACACTACATTTCTTCTTCTTCTTTTTGGATACATACTACACTTGTACACTACGTAAATTTTTTTTTTTTTCCTTTTTTGGATACATATATACTACACTAGTACACTACATTCTTTTTTTTTTTTTATACATACTACACTAGTACACTACATTTCTAAGTCTTAACGTTGTCTATGACAAAGATTTATATAAATATACAAGGGTAATTTTCCCTCCTAATTCCACCGTGCCTTCACGACTATAGGGTGTGATAATTCTAATTTGTAGGGTTATTTTCCATTCATTTCTAATGTATTTTATTTGTTTATTTAATTATTTTGAATGAAAATTGCCTAAATTTTTTTAATTGATTAAGTATGATGTAATAGAACTATTTTCCAAGAGAAAATGCCAAAAGTTGGGGTTATTAGCAAAGAAATGAATTGAAAATAAGGAATGTACGAGTCCAAAATTAATTAATCAACAGAAACATAATTTTATTGGTGAACTTTTAACAACTTAATTTTTTGCAACAAAAATTTAGTGCGTAAATCAGGAAAAAAAATTGGCTAGAATATCAACCCATAATAATAAGATTAAATTTGTGTTTTGAAATTTGAAATTCAAAATTCAGATCAAAATCAAATCTCAATCTTTATCCGAAGGAAAGAATTATCAGGAAACTCTTGGCATCGAAGTTGCGGCTAATAAGAGTTGATGCAAGAGGGATATCTCCAAAGGTCATAAACAAAGGGAAACAACGTTTAATCAATTCCTGAATTTCCATCTCTTCCATCATCACTCATCAGAGAAGGGAAGAAGGCCCAATACACCAAGATTAAGAGTAAGCTATTTAGACAAGAAAAAAGGGAATCTTTTATTTTTCTCTCTTTATCATGTTCTATTAACTTATATCTCCAAATTGCTTTATTGTTTCTTTTCTACCATGAACTAAATTTTGTATTATGGGGTTTCAATGTAGCCTAGTCATATAAACCTGAGATTTGTTCTATTCTCTTTTAATATATGGATTAAATCATTCATTTCAATCTAATTTTTTTATTACTTCTACGTGATTGATTGCTATTGTAGATTTATTCACTAGAAGTTTTTCATGAACAGTTGAATGTGAGACTTTTATGAATTTGAAAGAGGGATTAATGATTAGTCATAAGGTGGAATAAAGTGGTGAGGTGAACCAGAGATGTACCACACATTCTGTAATCATGGATAGACATGTATTTTATGCATTTGTTTAGTGAGTCTTGATTAGAGATATGACAAAACCCTTAAACAAATAGACTTAAATGACATATATAGATCGATAATATACCTTTAAATACCTTAATATCTAGGTTAATAATCAAATCAACCGAGTAATAATTTTTACACACTAGATGGAAAATTTGTAGTTCCTAAATTGATTTTAATTAGGGGAGGATGAAATTAGGATCCGAGGCTTAAAACTTATTCAATCATAAAAATTATTAATCACTAACTAATTCCTGGATAACCGATGTAACAATGTTGTGACAATAAAGTGTAGAAATAACAAAACTGAATATAACTTGGGATCACCAGTAAACTTCTGAATTTGATGATTTGCACAAAGAAAAGCAGAAGAGCATGCGCCAGACTGAGATAAGATTTCACGGTTTATGTATCCTTATCACGAGCGTCTATCACTTACCAACTTGTAGGTGTAGTGGGGTCTATAAGTACGGGGTTCTTTCTGATAACTCATTGTCCACATTGTCCCACCCTTTCTAATAGTACACAATTTTCCCATGGGCTTGAACCATCACAAGCGGTGGACCCTCTGCCACTAGATATTTTATTTTATTCAGCAGATATCCTTGTGAGATGCCTCGTCAAACATAGTAAAGTGGGTGGCTTAAGAATCGGAGACTTTTCATTTTTGTGTATCACTCATTTCTCCTCCAAAAAATTTGCTTAGGAAACAACCAAGAAGATATGGACCACGAAATTGATCATGTGAAATGAATCATAAAGAAAGAAAAAAAAAAGTAACATTTTCTGTTTATTTTTGTTATATTAGCTCAAGGTTAATTTGGCATTATAAACCATATCTTTTGGTTCTTCCACAAACAAGAAGATGCTACCTCACGATATGCCACACTGCACTCTATTTAGTTCACTCGCCATTCAAAACTTTTTAATGCAACTAGTTACATATATGAAACAGCTTATATAGTAGAAGTAAGAAGCACGTATTCTGAAGAGTATATATCCCATTAAAAATCATCGAAAAATTAAACTCTATAACATTTTCAAAGATGAATGGTACGAGGGAGCGATTTCGATAATAATAATAAAAATTAAACTCTATATTTGAAGCCCAGACATTATCAAACATAAGACAGAACATGATTTGGCTACGAAACTAAATATTTTGTAGCAAGAAAATAAAAGAAGAAGAAAAATAACTGAAAGAAACTTCATAAGCTTGACATTGCTAGTAATCACAGTGACATTTAGATTGAAGTCAAGGAAAGGAAGAACTCCTATCAACAATCATCCACTCAATCACAAATGTCAAATAAAAACGACCGACAACTTAAATGTGTCTTAACCTAATAAACCATAAACTAACCAGATTATTAAAAACACAACACAACTAAACAAACAAACAACAAACACAGGACACAATTGAGTTTTAATTATTCACTTCTCATTATTGTTGTTATTATTATTATTATCATTATCTATTTCTGTGTGCAATTTATAATCTAACAATTAAGACCCCAATAATTAATCAGTGATCTGAGTGTGTCTCTGCCTGTGTCGGAGTTCCCTGCATTGTTGAAAAGCAACTGTGAGATCTACCAAGAGGACGACATGTGAAACGGTCTTTCCTTGGAGAATCCAAAGTGCGAAAAAGGATCTGCTTCATTACAAGTATGAAATCCTCGTTTGGAGGATTGGAAGAACTCATGAACTTTTGACAGAACATCATGTGTCGCTTCAAAGCTTCTTCATTAGTTATCATCTTCTCTCTCTCAGACCTCAATCTCTCTTCCTTAATTGCCTCAGAACACAGCCCACAAATCCAACGACCCTCGTACCTCTCCCTCACGCGAACAATGTACTCTTCCGTGCACTCCTCCATCAGCCCGCAGCAACAACACTTCACCGACGACACACTCGTCTCCGTCTCAGCCGCCGCAGCCGCCTCAATACCCGACAGCGACTTCGTTTCTTTCAATAATATCTTCGCAGCCATATATACGTACGTTTTCTTTCTTCTATTCGGATATAGCACACAACGCAACACAACACAACAAAACAACCAACAATGCATTCAGGACAGAAATCAATTAATTAACCTCGTAACGGAATTTAAGGTTTTTAAGAATTATGTTAAGAGTTTTACCGTGTCGTGTCCCAAGAAATCACAAACGGTGGAATTGAAGGTAGGAATTACCGCTCCTTTTCCCACTCGATCTCGTGAACCTTCTTCTCGCCGCCGAAAAGAAGAACACTGAATGGCGTATAGTACATTCCAGAGCCTTAATGGGCTCTCTCTCTCTCTCTCTCTCTCTGTTTTTCGAATTCTTCGAATCAATCAAAAACTGCTATCTGCAACAACAAAACCAATTGTTCTGTTGAGTTTTCAGATCTGTTTCTTGAAACGACAAAGAACGCGGAGCAGAGGCAAATATATGTGTGAATACACGGAATGAAGAATTTTGTTGTTTTGTTTTATGTTAAAAAGGTTAAACCAAAAGGGAAAATTTTGCAATCATTGGGGGATTTCGTTATTTGCATTTGGTTCTCATCATCTTGTGTTAAAAAAACACTATGACATGCTGATGTGAAAAATTATAATTATATAAGCGTGGATTAATTGTGATAACAAAAATAGAAAAATGGAAAAATTGTTTGTAATTTTAAATGACATAAATTTATGTCATGTCAAGAGAGAGATAAACACAAAATAATTTTTTTATTTAAAATTTAAATTAAAAAAACCACCATTTTTTCTCTTCCACGATTTTTATTTTTTGTGTCTATCTCTCTCTTAAAATGACATAACTTATGTCATTTAAAATTAAAAACACCAAACCCTAGAAAAATATATTAAAATAAATAATTATAAAATCATAACTATCTATTGATCTCGGTATAATATTTTTTTTTTACACATGAGAATGCAGGAACACTGACCAAAATGTCACTCTTCACCAACTTTTTTACCAAAATGCTACGCGAACAGTGTTATTTTCCAATCTGTCACGGGACAAGTTCGCTACCCGGTGTAGCGAACTCGGTTTACTGACGTGTCACATTTTTAGTGAATAACAAATACCAAGTTAAAAAAAAAAAGGTGTGAACGTGTAGCGAACTTGATGTCCACTGGAAACTTGACATGTCCGCAAACCGAGTTCGCTACACCGGATAGCGAATTTATCTCCGTGGCTGATTGAAAAATAACACTGTTCCCGTGAGATTTAAGTAAAAAAATTGATAAAGGAGTGGCATTTTAGTTACCTGATGCATTTCCTTTCGTTTTACCAATTTACGTGGACTGTGACAGTGACAGGATCGCTGATGTTTTGTAGTTTTTACCTGGAAAGCTGCCACTGTAGTTTTTCTGAATCTCAGGATTTGAGAAGCGGTTTCTAGACGCAACATTCTTTTCTGTTCTCTGGCATATCATATTGCCAGTTTCGAAATGTAAAATTATTTTCATTATTATTTAAGGAAGAAAAAAAAATTAAAATATATCAAAATAGTAAATTATTTTAAGCTGGTTTTTAAGAGGATACCGCATTTTAAAATTATTAGGAAGGCAATTTACCAACTTTCTTATGTATTAAATGCGCATGCCTAGTTTGTATTTTTCTTTTCTTTCTTATTTTAATAATTAGTAAAATTGTTAATCTATTTGAAGTATAAAATTTAATTGCTTCATTATCATCAAATTACATATTTAGAGTTAGCATATGGATTAATTTAACTCGGATTCAACTTGGCCTGTCGTGGAATAAACTAAGGTTGACAATGGATCGATTGGATGATGAATTTTGAATTAAACCGGGTTAAGATGGGTTATTAATTTAGCAACAAAAAAAAAAGGTAACTCAAACCAAACAAACCCGATTTAGCACATATTTGTAGTTAATATTGCCCAAAATGTTTACAAAGAATGTGGCAAAAATCAAAGGTATGCAGGGCTTCCACAATCTCACTTGTTGATCTCATAGACAAATAATTAGTTATCGAACTTTGGCCATAGGATCAAGCATAAAAATAAAAAAGGTCAACCCAGTCAAGCAAATCCAACGGATCTTCAGTTAGCTATAAAAAAATGAGAAATGATCCGTTTACAAATTTTTTTTACAAATTACACTATATACCCGGTCGGGATATTAGGTCATTGAATCACTGATCGGATCAGTTGACTCAGATATATAGAAGTACAATGTATAACCTAGTGTACTTCCTGGAATACATATTGTAGTTTGTAAGAGTTTGTAAATAAAAAAGTTTATAAATATAACTTTTTCCAAAAAAAAAATATACGACGGAGGAACGAACCAGTCTAGTGGACCATCAGCCTAGGCACCTCTCACAACGACTCGAACTAACCAGAATAATATTAAGTTGTGTTGGGTTGAATTAACTACGGTTTTAAAGTAAATGAATCTAGACTCTCATATGTCTAAATACACTTCAATATTCTTGTAAAATAGATACATTTATAATTTCTCATTATCCAATTTCAATACATTTATCCTTATCCATGTTGGCATTTTTCCCCAACTAAATGCATCTATATTCTTTGTGTCTACGTACATTCATTTTCAAAACGTATGGATATCTGATTTATCCAATTAGTGTTTGGTTGGTTCATTAATTACTCGCATTAACTAAAACTAATAGTAATACAATCCACACACGTGTGTGTGGCAGGGGGACATGGACACAATTGTTATCCCTAGCCTTAATCACGTTGAAACATGTTGGGTTCTTTACTAAACAAATTCAAAATTTAAAATCCAAACATATGACACTTAGGTTTACATGAACCCGTGAACCTATTAAAATAATAAAATTAAAAATCACTGGAGCAAACATCAGAAGTAGAGTATATGCAACATACATATAGCCCACATTAAAGGTAATTATTCTCTTGATATCAAAAAAAAAAAGGTAAATTATTCTCTTAATTGCTTGCCTATAGGGAAGCTTAGTTTCGATTCAGCAAATCCTATGGTAGTGATAATTTTTATATTCTGCAATTACATTGGATGAGATTCATTTTTTTTTATTTTCTCTCTTCTCTTTATGTGGTTTCACCCTTCTCATGAAAGTACAGAAATAAATTATCTCGCGCTAAGAAAAGCATTCAATATATATATATATAAATATATATATATATAACATTTTTATTACCAATTTTTTTCACTATCACTCTAATTATTGGATTAGAAGAAAAGTTGAATGAAGAGAGAGAAAAGAAAAATAACTTTTGAATCCAAATGTGATTAAAGTGGTAGTAACAAAATTGATAGTAAGAATATCCTACCTCATATATATAAAAACATTTTCTTATACTGTGGAAGAATTATTTTCTCCTACAAGTTACTCTTTGCTTTTTGTGCAGTATTTTTTTTTAATAGATGTGGGTCTCACACAAAATATGTTTATAGCATGAAAAAAATTTCTCCTATTGCATAAGAAAATTGAAACTTCGTATGTGTGTGTGTGTGTTTTGTCCTGAAGACAGAGATGTTTTTGGATCTAGGTGCTTTCTAAGGTATCTATGAGTTAAATACCCTTGAGTTTAGCAGATCACCGTGCACAAAATAATAAAAGACAGCTTTCGTCAAAGGAGTAGTGTGTGCACAGTAGCAACATAACAGTAATAGAGAGAGAATAGTCATACATGTTAGGCTATACCTCTTATTTATAGAGTTTACCCGTGGGTATTAGGATTCAGGACCTTCTATGCCTCTTCTAGTAGCTCAAGCCCATGTTTAATATTGTCGTATTAAGATTGATATCTTTGATAGATATCCTCCTTTGATTATATTGGATTTATATTTAGATTGCTCCTTATTGGGCATTATAATGAATGAGTCTCACATATGAGTCCATAACAATACGAGATAGGATATTTATACTACCACTTTTTTTTACTACTACTTTAATTACCATTGAATCAAAATTTTCACCAACTTTTTTCTCTCTCTTTTCAATGAATTTTTTGTTTAAAAATTTGATCCAAGGGTGATTAAAGTGATAGTGATTGGTAGCAAAAACAATTGTAGTATGAATATCTTATCTATATATATGTATATGGTAAAATCATTTCTGCAGCCCACTTTACGTACAGCAACGACAGGTGTATGGTTATGACTCTCTACATTTAATATTTTCATCCTTTGTATGGTTATAATTCTCCGCATTTAATGCTTTCAAGTATATATATGGCAAATATTTGATTGTTGCACGTACAGTAGCTGCAGAAATGTAAACCTCTATGTATATATATTAATAGGTTATATTTACAAATTTTTTGTTTATAAACTATACTATATACTTCAGAGAGTACATTCTTAAGTGAATATACTCTTCCCAGAATATATAGTGTATTTTATAAAAATTTCTAAATAAACAGTTTGTAAACATAAATTATATATATATATATATATGGGTCAATATTTCTCCAGTCAATCGAGATAAGTTATCTCCGGTGAGCCCAAAATGACGTAGTTTTGAGGTGAAAATCAAAGTATTTTTGTAATTCTAATATATTACAGGGTTATATTAGTCTTTTTCATTATAATTCTTTAATCTTATAACCTAAAATGATATCGTTTTGAGCTTATTGAAAATAACTTTGTTTTCAGTGACTGAAGAAATATTTTTCCATATATATATATATATATATATATATATATATATATATATATAAGGTAAGATCTTTTGACACCTCTTCTAAGAGTCGTTAGATCAAAAAAGATCAATGATGTCACATGCTTACAAATCAGAGTCGTTGATCTTTTTTGATCTAACGACTCTTAGATGAGGTGTCAAATTTTAAATTTGACATATATATATATATATATATATATATATATATAATGGTTTCAAGATCATGCTTTACATTATTAAAAGAATGTTTCTTATCACGAAATATCTGAATAATTACAACATTAAAAATATAAAACGTCAATTAAATATTATAATTAAACTTTTTATGTAAGAATTTAT